TATTCTCTTCTGCAGACGCTCATTATCAACCTTAAATTTTCAGTTCTATACCTATTTTATATTTGAATTATAATGTGGCTATTCTGTTCTTATCGGAGGACATATGCGTTAGTATACATTTCCGTTAGTCTAGGTAATTAACTGTGCGTCGGCGGCACAGTGGTTAGGACTCTCGCCGACCATGTACATGGTCCGGGGTTCGAGCCCGCACCGACGCACATCTGATATCTATGGTCGACCTGCAAAATTTGGGCTACCGATATCCATGCTGAAAATTCCATACTTGTACCAAAAATACAGTGTGGAATCAAGCTGTAAATAAAAAATAAAAAAATAAAATTAATAACAAGGGTTGTACATATCCAAATTGTATGAAGTGCTTTTGCTCCTATCATCTATAGACCTGCTCAGCTTCTTTTCCAGATGCTACCTCACTGGCCTTACAGAAATTCGTGAGACATCTTACAGGTCAGCTTATCCTACCAGTTCTAATCTTCCAGATCTTTGAATTCACTTCTCACTGGACATCAATTATCTACCTCATGACTATTTTTTATTTACGCACTAGTATACTCTACTTTGTCTTGACTATCTACGCCTTTAATAAAGTCAAAACCTACTCTTTGCTCATATTTGTTGCTTGCCTAAAGTCTGGATGGTTTGATTAAAAACACAACAATACCAATCTTTGAACAAAGCTGTCGGAAACGTTATAGTTTCCATGCTTGGACCAATATGGCAAGGACTAAACATTGCAAATGAAATACTGATGCAAGTATAGTGTATACTATACAAGGACTCTATGACTCCTCCTTGTTTATATACTGAAAGTGTAATTTCAAAGATGTATTATCCATAATTGTATTTTATACCATTTAGCAGTTTTCCGGGACGTTTTCCTCCTCTTTAAATAGCTTTTAATCAGTTGGCGGTATAACACTTACCGAAGTATAAGCTGTTCACTGATCGACCATAAATATCAACAGGAAAAGGAACGAAGTTCGGGTTGTGACCCAACTTTGATGGTGACTTTCGTAAAGGATTTATAATTTAACATTCATGAGAACCTGTTCTGATTGCTCGTACAATAGTCAAACAATTGAAACCTTTGAAAAAGTACTAATTTGTGATACTTCATGATTGTAATTTGTAACATTGCTGATCGTGTTTGTAAAAATGGCATACACTTCTTGTAAACTTACCCGTCTATACAAAATAAAAATGATTATTGTTTGCATTAAGTTCTCAATATTCCCTATTGTTGGTTGAGTAATAAAGATTCGATGTTCTGCTCTGTAATTTATTATCAGTTGCTGTGAATTTGGCTTGATTATCAATTGCCCAACAAGTGTTCTGAGTTCCCTGAGTTATCTTTTGACAACAATAATGCGTCTCGATAGAGTTATTGACAGTTTTTAGGTGGTAATCCAACAACTTCTGGCTTTCACACATGACAAAACCTTCAAAGCTCTCAAAAAGCCTTTTCCATGTGTAATTTCTTTTACTGCATGCCTTCCTCGTCAGTAAATCACTTTGTTAATCGATACACTTTTACGCAAAACACCAAAAGAAATACAATAAAATACTGATTTTTCCGACTACAGAAGACCAAAACTAATTTCATATTTCCTATAATCGCCCGAATAGACATACACCCTGCCTTTTCAGGCACAAGCATTGTAAGTTACACTAGGCTCGAAGTTACATCACGTTAGATTTTATCCTTGATAGATCGAAACTAGAATGAAAACGTGTCAGTACATTTCGTGACCCACGGAAGTAACTGAATGATTGAGTCAGCAAGAATCGCCGGCGAATTCGAGAGGCCCGATTTCCTGGATGTATTTTTATGGCCTGAACCTGTATGAAATTCGAATGAATTGCGGACAATTCACCGGTAACTCTGGCAGAACGATATAACTTTTAATAGGCCTGGTAGCTGCGCTAAGAAATTTTACCGCCTTATCGATTCGCGAGCCCATTATTCTAAGAAATATTAGCAACAAAAATACGTTACGAGACCACCGGAAACGTGACATGAGAAGGTAAGAAGAGAAGACAGACTGTTGGCATGGGGAGCTTCTATGTGCTGAATGAACAGCGAAAATGGTGGACAGAGATTGGGTGTGTGCATGCTGTAAATGACCTAAGAAAGACGGCATAGGGGTCAAGGTCATAAGTGGGGTGAAAGAAATACAACCGGGCATGTGAAAGTTCATGTAGACAATCAGGTCTATGTATCAGAAAAGCCTCATGTATAGTCTTTGAGAACGTAAGACTGTGAAGTTCGACTAGGATAAGCTGTGGCTCACTGTGATAGAACCACATGTGAGCTGGAAACTAGGCCAGTAGTTTTCCCTCTGTGCCATCTGCTCTGACATTGTATGCCAGATGCGCATGGTTTCATACTCCGCTATATATGTAGGAGTTATTCATTCTTTGGACCTACCTAATCAATTCGGCACGTGTGCAGTATAAGCCAATCACTCATATTCTCTTTTCATACTTCTTCAAATATCTAGAACATCTGAGAAGAAAACTTTAGGAGGTCTGCCGGGCCCAAACAATTCGTTGGTACCTAGGAAAAGTAAGGATGAGCCCAGCATATTACCTTGAGGCACATCGCTGAGAGTGACTGTCCAGGTTGAGAGACTTAAGTTGATCCTGCCCTTTTGTCTTTTTAACTACAGCTTATTCCTTCAATCCCGCGTAGTAAGCGGGCTGTAATTAAAAAGCTTTACTGAAGTCTACGGAAGCAATATCAGTGAGCTTCTATCTATCTTTAGACCTGGTCTAACCCTGATGTGCTGTGAAGTTTTCGAAATAAGAGAGGTTCCTCGTAAAACAGTGCTGTGCATCGGATAATAGGTTTCTGTTTCGCTACCATGGTAGTTTACTCTTTCCAGTATTTTTATCGAATGCCAGCAACAATTATAGGCGCGTAGTTTGAAGGGTGATTCCTGGATTCTCCCTCAAGAACAGGGATTTAGGTAATTAGAAAAAATGGATAGACGGTGTGACACCTGGAAACTCCAGCTTAATATCGAAAAATGTGGTTGGCTCTGCATAGGTTGCAACAATTTAGAACTAGACCTGACAATTCAAGGCCACGCACTTTTACGACTGGAATCTGTATTGGACCTGGGACTGAAATACTCACATGATTTATCATTTTCTGAACATATCTCCAAACAAGTGTCAAAGTCACTCAGACTTATCGGCTTTCTACTCAGGAACTTTTACAGAAATGAGTCCAGAATTCTGTTGCACAGGGTTTGTGTGCGTCCTTTATTTGATTACTATTCATTCATGTACAGTGGTATACGCATAGAGGACAAATTGAAAGTCGAGGGAGTGCAGAGGTACTTCACCTCAAAATTACTCGGAACCGAAAATGGTGCGAAATACTCCACTAGATGTGATACCCTAGGATTAGAAACACTATGGCTAAGACGCCTGAGACTAAACTTAACACTTTACTATAAGCTTCTAAACCACTTAGTTTTTACCTCTACTAACAGCATTCGACTTTCAGATGACAATGGCTACAAGCTAAGACACACTAAGGGTACAGTAGCTATCGAACAATGTAAAACAGCCACCAGGCAAAAGTTTTACTTGATTAGGTATGCACAGATGTGGAATAAACTACCAATGGAAATGCGTCGAGCAAGTACATTGGCCTCCTTCGAAAAAGTGCTTAACGACAAACTACAAGAGTTTGCAAACAATAGTAGTTTTAGTTCCTATCTGAGGGCCTCCGAAATTATGGGTCTATTTAATGTATGAGCTTAATTACTGCACCTGTTGTTTTTTGCCTATATTTATAATTTTAGATAAAACATTAACGGTTAAGATGCGTACCCTCAAACAGACAAGAAATTTCGTTAGTAAAACTTCTACCCAACACAATGGCAGTCAGTGTGCTGGCTATGCAGACCTAAAGCTCCCTAGGTAGTCCCGGAAAAGGTTCACTAGGTCCCACTGACTTCTCTGTGTATAGTTTTGATGTTTCATTTGACGTGGACACACCTATATTTTCCTTTGAGTGAGGATGGGACTGGTGTTATGATTGGTGGTAACTTCTCTATGAAGACTCTGAGGAAGTAATCTTCCATTTCCCTTGATTTTTCATTATCCTCCTCAAATGTAAGATAGGAAACTCCATGAAATATCTCATTCTTTTGGTTCTGTCCTAGATGCAGTCTGAATTTCAAATGTGGCTGACGAATTTCTGCCTTACCTTTGTTCTCATTTGCGGTATGCAGCTTCTCGTCCTCTGAATGTGTTCCAGCACCTGTGTTTACAGCTGGGTGGACCATGATTCACGTGGTTTATCTGTGGAAAGCAATAATAATAATAAAATTATTATTATTATAAAGTTTCCCACCCTAGGGAACAGTCGACTGGGTGTGTAGTTAGATTAACTGGAGGTATATTACCTTTGATTGACACCATTCAGCTTCCTCTTTTAAACTTAAACTCCATTCAGCCGATGGAATTTGAGGAATCCTAGCTTTTACATTGGCTTTACACATGTTTTGTTGAGATGATCTTTTGACCTGGGATACTGAAGCAGCAGTCAACTTGTTGCTGAGCGCACCATAATCAGCTCATTTCAGGAATGGAAGATATTGCGTTAAGTTAACATCTATAATTTTATCATCCCCTGTCTCCATTTCCATAAGGGACAAACTCCGGTTTACTGGACAGGACTGTAGTACCCCAAAGAAAACTATATTTCTGTGGAGTGCCGGTTCTCTTAACGAGTATTTAACTCTTAGAATTGACCTCTGCAAAATATCTGTCTAGTTCTCCAGTTGATCAATTCAAACAGTAACTGTACAAGAACAATTGTTTTATACAAGGACTCCTACTTCAATCTGTGCCTTTTTTTGAAGCTTGAAATTCAATATCTGGAAATGTGAGTTGTAACAAGGCCATTGGATGCCGTGACTAGGCGGTCTTTTGTAATTCTGAGTTACAAACCGTAATCCAACATGCCTCGGATTAACATTAAGGGAGGTGTTTGGCGAAACACGGAGGTAAATCTCTTCATATTATTTACTGTTTTTTAAGGATGAAATCTTAAAAGCTGCTGTTATGAAATATGGCAAAAATCAATGGGCTCGGATAGCATCATTGTTACATCGCAAAGCCGCTAAACAATGTAAAGCCAGATGGTATGAATGGCTCGATCCTAGCGTCAAGAAAACGGAATGGAGCCGTGAAGAAGATGAGAAGCTTTTGCACTTGGCAAAGCTTATGCCAACACAATGGCGAACAATAGCTCCAATTGTTGGTAGAACCGCAAATCAGTGCTTAGAGCGTTATGAATACCTTTTGTAATTGTCAAATCCTTTCTTATCGAGATCTTTAGGGATAAAGCGCAAAACAGGGAGGGATTGTCTGCCGAAGAAGATCCAAAGCGTCTTCGACCGGGAGAAATCGACCCAAATCCTGAAACTAAACCAGCTCGTCCAGACCCCGTTGATATGGACGAGGATGAACTAGAAATGCTTTCAGAAGCTAGAGCAAGATTGGCCAATACCCAGGTTGGTTTTTTTACTGCAGTGATTATGGTGCTTTTACCGTCCACATTTTAAGAAATGGATTTTATGCAGAGGCAAAATGAGGTTGCCAACCTGTAACTTATGTGAACATTAGTTTTTGAGTGTAATCCATGAATTCCAGGTCTCTCTAGTTATGGTTGCTCTGGCCATTGTGCTTTGATACTACTTTCATAAGTTGAGAATTACTGTACTTAACATACCAAGCTCTTTTGGTACTACTTAGAAACTTTCTCGTTGAGTACCCATTAGAATCATGCGTTTAGAAATTGGTACCACTAGATATGTCCACCTCCTTTGTATCGGTAAACTTATATGTGCCAGGGTTGATCTTTAAATACCTGAGCATCATCCTAAACTTTGTAGGTACGACCTACTGATCAGGTTGTTTTTTGCTCCTCACTCATTGTAGTTGAATTTGGTGTAGGATAATTCGAATATGCCGTTGTCAGTGGAGTAGAAATTCTTTGAGTCTTATACATTTCAAGGTAGTATGTACTCAGTTGTCAAAAGTGAAATGGGTAGTTATGGATTTTTCAACTGTATTTCCATTGATTACAGTTTTCCATTTGTTTAGTTTATATGCAACCGTTAATGGTTATCCCTAGTGCATCTCTTTCTAATTCTCTCTTCCTTTCGGTCTGTGTTGTCGCTATCCCACTGCATTACTATGTCATCAGTTCAGCTTAACGTAGTGTGAAGTTTAGTAGCATAGGTACTTGACTTCCAAAAGAGTAATCTTGAGCTCAGGACGCTTTCATCGATTTCAGTCTCGATAATATGGTGTGATTTGTGACATATCACTAAGTTTGTATTGGGCAAGTCATTAAAAAATGAAGCTTTGTCTCATGATTAGTTTTCAACATTGCTAAAGTTTATTTGTCTTTGGGATGTCTCAGACAATCGAATGATTAATACCAGGTCCTTTTAAATTAAATTTTTATGGTTAATTGGTTGACTGTGAAACTTTTTAAATTGAATGCAAAAACCATTGCTGAGCATTAAAGCATTTCCATCACTAATAACTTTTAAACAATTCATTTATAAAAATTGGTTCTGTTAAAGTAATCATGACATCTACTTGAAATTCTTTGGCTGTGCAACGATGAAATCTCTATCATCCTAGCCTTCAACTTCGGATAGGGTACGTGTTTTGGGAAATCGTTTTATAATAGGTACCTTGTTAATGTTAAGAACTTCCATACGACGAAGTTTTCCTCCCATTGGAGGTATAAACTTCATGTAGACCTGTAGGATTTCTTTTCTGAATTTATTCAGGAACCAAACTTTAAGTCTAATGAGCATTAACACTGAGTAACAAACTTGATTTAATGAAGGTCAGATGTACTTTATCCAGCGGTAGAGGTTTAACAGATATTTCAGTAAGCTTTAATTGGTATCCTGGAAGATTAGATGTTTCGATATATGCCTACAAAAGTTCTATTCGTTTCACCTATTTAATTGCTTGTCTCTCGTGTTGTTCGGTCGGACTGTATATTATCGAACTTTTATCACGCTATTAATCCTCATTTATTTATTTTCCACCCATTTATATCTTTTTTTACGTCAACGCCTTTTGAAGATTTTATGTAGCTGAATGAGGCACTAATCTGAGAATACATTAACCAATAGAAGCTTGTATAACTGTGGTCTTATTTGCTCAGTTTCTCTTTGTCGGTTTAGTTGAGTAAGATTGATGCTGGGTAAATGCACTTCTTAGTGGCGGCATTTAGAATAAAAGAATGCATAATATCCTGATACATATTTTAAAATATTTGTCTGTACTAAAAGGTTACATATCTGACCAAAAACTCATACATCACGACTCCTTGGTTTAAGTGTAGGAAATCACATGACTCATACTTGGATTTACTAACCGTTCGTTTTGTTGGTCTTTATCTTTTCTTCTCTCATCCTTCTATTGTTGTCGACTAAATCTTCTTGCCATTTTAAGTTTTAAGTAGTATTTTCCATAGACAGGCTTTATATTATTGATAATTGTTAGGTTTTGTTTATGATGTATGCAAATAAAATGTAGCAAAAAATCAACCTATATCTGCACATCCGTATACAAGACTTTAGGCCACACCTGTTTTGTTGAGTCTAGTAATAGTGTATGATTACCTAAACCTTGGTAGATGGTAGTTAATTCGAATAAACTCTATCGGGAAAAGTATTAGTTTATTCGGAAGGAGTGAAATACTCTTGTGATAGCCGTTAGATACCTGGCGTAAATAATATATATTAAGATCACGCAGTCCATCACCATTTGGTGTTTAACATAAACTCGGAAACAAATGTAAAAGGACTGAGTGGGTTTCAGGTCTGGGCAAAAAATGCACTAACTAAAACTTTGTTTTTCGAAAACTTCTGAAATGCATATCCGCAGCAGTCAACCTACCTTAAGATATTTGATTTTGTTGATGGTAATTCGTTGTGATTTTCTGAGTGTAACAGCAGTGCTAAAGTATGTCTGACTAATGTTGTTCCACAACTAAAACATACACAGCCACATGATAGCCTAATATGATTATTCATTCCGTTGTTTCTGAGTTTCTTCAGCAGCCATTCTCCATTGTTACTGTATTCCCTACTGCCATTTCCACCTGCCTGCACGAATACCCACGAGCTTTCATTTCATCTTCACAGGATATCTTTCATGTCACTTTTGGATGCTTCCTATTCGGGTTCCACTACAGGACCTGAAATTTGTAGTCATTTGAAGTTCACTTCAACATTTGTTGAATAGTCAATACTGTGGTTGTCCAAACCCCTCTTCAACGAATCAGTTGAGGTTGCATACACCACTTCTTCTGGGAGTCGGTCCCAAGAGTTTATGACTCAGTGTGAGAACCAGTACTCAACAGCAATATGATTTCTTCTCGGCTTTTCAACTCTCCTGCTATGTCCTCTAAGGTGTTCCGACTACCTGGTGGGAAGGAAAGGAGAGAATAGGTCAGGTCTGTAGACATTATTTAAAATTTTAAACATTGTGATTAAATCTGCTCTCTGCGTACGATATAACGGAGAAGAGATTTAAACTGCCTAGTCTTTCCTCGTATGATAAGTTAGTCAGGCCGCAAACCATACGTGTTACCTTCCTTTGAACCCTGTCTAGAATGTGTGAGTCTCCTTTTAGACAAGGACTGGTTGTCTGGATGCAGTTTTCCGGTCTTGACCTCATCAGAGATGTATATAAGGAGGTGAACATATCTCTGGTGATTCTAGTAAAGGCTGTGCGAATTGCCCGTAAAGACCTGAAACTACGTGCAGCCACCGCACGACAGTGTGCTGCCTTCACGTGGGTTCAAGGAAGCCGCCGGTCTGGGCATGCCGCAGCAGTGTGCTATAGTTTTTAAGTCGTGGCTAACTATGACACCTAAGTCTAAGTTACTTTCTCTAGCTAAAGAAAATGTAAGTCCACCGACCAACAGTTGGCCATTCAGCTTTATTTTTGTCTATGTGTACCTATTTAAAACAATACCAGCAGGCTATTATTGACACCTAGGATTCACTATAAAGCAACTATAAGACAGCTTTACAGTGAAAACGGGACATCTAAATGCACTCTAAACTACTCCTTATGGTTAGGTGTGTTCGTGTGTGAGTTTGAAGCCTTTAAATAGCAATCATTCTAAGGACTGATGATGTGAATAAGCCTGGTCAAGCACAAAGTTTTTCTTTACTCAACACATGCAGGTTGGCTTATCGCTTGATAACAGAGCGATCACTTTACTTATATGAGACATTGCACCAACATTACTAGTTCGGTAACTGATGACATGAGAAAATTTCCACTCAGAAGTTTCTCCATCTACCTGTTATCTTTCATGCTATTTGATTACATCTCATTCCTTTTTCGCTTTTTATATCAGTACTGTGTTTATTCTCTACTTTCAAATTTAGGGTAAGAAAGCAAAACGCAAGGCTAGAGAACGTCAACTTGAAATTGCTCGAAGAATGGCTATGATGCAAAAACGTCGAGAGCTTCGTGCCGCTGGCCTAGGAACATTTCTAGGCCTAATGCCCAAAACAAAACCATGCATGGATTATAATTCAGAGATCCCGTTTGAAAAACAACCACCGAAAGGATTTTTTGATACGAGTACTGAAAAACCAGAAATTAAGCCTATGGATTTTCAGCGTTTACGTCTGTCTGATATTGAAAAAGAAAGTTATATGGAAAAGGAAAAAGTAAGTGTTGACTTTTAATATTAATAATATTATTATTATTATCATTAGTGATAATGTTTTAAGCCAAGCATTTATTAGAGTCTGATGACTTATTAAAACACAAACTTGGTACGTTATAAGCACCAAAAGGTATGCCACACAACATCTCTTGATTTGTGCCCAGGCTGGGATGCTTTCCGGACTCTCAGACCTCAAGGGATCATCCTGAGCCTTCGAATTGAAGCGTGATTCACAAGTCTATGAAGCAGCGTCAAGAACTACATCCTCATGGCTTCCGGTGATCAAAACAGGTGTATACGTCACTCGATGCTTTTCGATTCCGGAGCCCATGTACACCACAGAGGTTTGGGATCAGGGTTTTTCAGTTCCACACCAGTTAATTTGTAAGCATTCACCCTTTCACTTTTGTGAGGAGCACCCATCTGGCTTGTGAAGTCAGTCAATAAGATCTACCTGCAGTCCTGTTAACGTTAGATTTGAGTTTTTTTTGTCAGTGAATAGTGATATGCATTTGTATATTTTCATGGAATAACATGTTTTGGGTAAGCTTCAGATAAGCGAAAGAACTTACAGCTGAAGTCATTTTATTTGATGTTTATTTAAATATATTAAATATTCCCATAATAAAATTTAGAAGAACACATTTAAGCGAACAATATTGTGGTTTCAATTAGATCTCATCAAGCTTAACTCTAATTTACCTACATAACTTTACAGACAAAAGTTGAAATATAACCCAATCATAATGTTTTGTCTATAGGATAATAAGATGGTGAATATAAATTGTGCAATTAGTCATAATAGTAGTAATGAATATAATGGTTTTATCAATAATAAGGATGAAAAAATGAGGCAATCTGTGATAATACAAATAATGAAAAACAGCGTGATTAAACAAACAAATGTTCAGGTAAAAGTAGTCGATAAAGGCTAGAAAAAACAAATGAACCGATTAAGTAATGCTAGATTGTAAGGGAAGTAAATGAGACACGTTTATTATGAAGATGTGATAAGATTAAGGGATGATAAGAAAGGGGTTGAAAATATAAACAAGGGATGGTGTAGAAGTCTTCAGTTGGTTATGTCTTAATAGGCCAAAGGAGGGAAGGAGGGGGCTGTACGAACTTCTTTTGAATGCATAGTTTAGGTTTAATAGTTCGAATGCCTATCGCTTGCCTCAGCTGTGTGCAGTAGACGAATACGAAGTCTATTGGAAAGATTCGGTGGGATACGATGAATTACTCTAAAGGCTCTCGTTTTCTCCACTATATGACCACTATCAATTAAATGTGACAAAATCGAACTACGGATTGTTTTTGTCTGTCCTTTACCAAACCACCATAATGGGAGATGTTCAGTAGTGACACGTTGGCTAAGCTGTCTAGTAGTACGCCCAAGAGAAGTGTCATCACAGGCGCAGTTGAATTGATAAATGCACATAGATGTGGCAAAACTATCAAGCTTATCCTTCGTTTGCGTCCCAATCATTCATCGGCTAGAGAATGAAAAACATAGATGTGCTGCGTAAAATGTTCTTCGTATACTCCTTAAAAGTCTGTGGAAAAAAGTCTCATTAGATAAGTCTCCATTAAATTGTAACCTAATAAATAAAGGCTTTTTACGTGCAGTCAGAGTCTCAGGTTTTCTCTCTGACGTTTTCAATGTTTCTTTATGAAACTACTCGGATAGCCCACCTCTATCAAGGAATCGTGAATATATTCAAATTCCTTTTTTGTAAGTGGTCATCTGTACATATCTTTCTTGCTCTGCTCGTAAGACATTTAAAAACATTTCTTTTATATATTTAATGGGTGCATAACTAAGAAAGTGTGTGTGTATTGCTGTGTGAATGTGCTTTTTCTATACACACTTCTCGCAAGTGTAATATTTGTAATACTTCATGGATCTGTTAAATGATGATTATTCATAGTGAGATTATTTGGTAAATTATCCTCGGTTTATTATTTTAATGTCTACGAATTAAATTAATGTGGGTAAGGTAAGATTATTCGACGTCAATTCTTCAGCGGGTAGAAAATGTGCACCAGCTACGAAAGTGGTCCGGCTTCGATTCCTGACCGATGCACTCCTGGACCTCGTCCAGCTAACTACCCGATGGTAAGCTAGGAAAAAAGGGAAGGTTTGGGGGTGAAAACAGCGACCCTACCCCTTAAATGGAACACAAACGCTACTGAAGCCCTGTTGATCCACGTGGAACTCAAAAAAACGCAAAGGGAAGGTTATTCAATCTTCAGAGGGATACAAAACGAGAAGTAAAATGAGAAACTAAAAGATGTAGACGACAAAGTGGTGTCAAAATGATGGTATATAGATTTTCTGTTATACCTCTTTTAAGGTTGACTCTCCAGTCATGTTACTTATAATCTTCAGATGCTAATCAATAAGGCTTCTCAAAACAGCAGTTGTGAATAGTCATCATTCGGTAAGAAATACACCATTAACTGGTGAATGTGTATACGTGGAAATCAGTTTAAAGTCGAGTTAATTACTCAAAATGAACAGCACAAATTGGATAGAGGATTTAAGATCGTCGTATTTTAATACCTAGTTTGTTGAATAACTTATAGTTGCAATTAATAGTGTTATCTGCGCTGGTCGGTTTATTTGCGAAGCTTTTGTCGTCCTTCTGGACAACATCCCCTTCAGCGCAATTTTTTAGCATGAAGTGAACTGATTTAAATTCTCCATGAGTTCTCCATGAATTCTCCATGAATTGCGTCTCCTGGTAACCGTCTTTACATGTGTATTCATCAATTTTTATTGACTTGGATTTTTCAAACTTTCTCGTCATATGATTTACTTTTTATTAGTTCGTAGATTTGGTCTATATTAACATGTTTGTTAAATTGCATTTTCGTTTGAGTACTAGGCTTCAAGGAATTCCCTGGCATTGCTTTTGGTGTTTCCTCTGTCTAAAATTCTGACATTATCCCAATCATCAAACTGATGTCCATAATTATCTATATGGCATTGATATGAAAGAATACAACATATCATGTATTTTCACAGCTGATTTGTGTTCCTGCATTCTGATTCGAAGGGGACGCCCACTTAGTTGACCGATGTAATGTCTGTTACAGTTCATGCATGCAATTTATTTTTGTAAATGGGATTCATTTTATCTTCTTTTTCTGTTGGCTGATTCTTTCGGTTTGCACAATATCGAATTAAATGATTTCACTTTATGCTAAAATTTGCGCTGAAAAGGGATGTTGTCCATACAGGGAACGACAAAAGCTCCGCCGCAACTAAACTAACCAGCGCTCCTTAGAGAACACTACTAATTCCAAATCATTCACCTACCTGAGCTACAAGTTATCTCTATTCACTTATAGTTGATTAATTCACCATGTGTGTGTGTGTGTGTGATATTTCTCTCTTTTTTCTTTTCCTTATAGCGAGAACGTAAAAAGGATGCTGAACGTCAGGCGAAACGTATGCAATCAGATTTACCTGGTCTTGTACAACAACGTGGTAATTCTTTGGATGAACCATTGTTAAAACGATCTAAACTTGTCCTTCCTGCACCTCAGATATCTGATTTAGAGTTGGAAAATTTAATCAAAGTATGTTTCATGTGTTGTATTATTATTATTATTATATTATTATTATTGTTCTCTTGGGTTCCTAATGGAACATAGGGCTTCAACTGCACGTCTCCACTTGCCACTTCTGTCTTCCTTCTGCTGTAATTTTCACCTGCATCCATATTAGTTAGTCCATACTGTTTCAACTCCTCCTCTTCACACGATCTCCTCCATGTCACCACTGCACTGACGACCCACTCGCCGCTTCCCATTCTGTCGGGTTCCACTCGAGCAATGGCCTGACGCCCGCGCGATGTCACACAGCGGCCTCCTCAGCGGTGAGTGTCCAATCCATCTCCACTTTCTCCTGCATATATGTTGGTCGGCGATTGGTTGTTCTTGTTTTGTTTGTTCACATAGTTTCAATAGTTGGTGATTCTTTCCGGCCCGGCCATCTGATCTTCAGTATAGAGCCAGCGAAGACAGTTGTTGTTGATAAAGGTCTGCAACAGGCTGTTGGAAATATTCTTTGTGATCCGCTCGCCAAGTTTCTTATCCGTATAGAAGAGCTGACTGACTTGACGTTTGTATTGAAAACCTGACCGAATTTGTTTGTTGATGCTGAATGACGAAGATTTGCAGATTGGTTTCAGGTTCATGAATGTGTTCCTCGCTCGCCTTCCCGATTTTCGCTCGATTTGACATCCTCGTCCGTTCCTCCGTTCCTGTAGTTGAGACAATGCTCCCTAGATAAGTAGTTGAATGAAGTAACCTCTTTCAAATCCCTCCCGTCGATGGTGATTGGCGCTGGATGTTACTGCTGTTGTTGTTGGTTGGTTGGTTATTTTCATAACCTCCGTCTTGACTCCAGGTGAACATAGACAAGACGGAGGTTATGAAAATAACCAACCAACCAACAACAACAGCAGTAACATCCAGAGCCAATCACCATCAACGGGAAGGATCATGTGTTGTCGTGTATTGTCATTTTACTAAAGTTTTTCTTCTGTCTCTTACTACTTATATAAGTGTGATAAGTCGAGTGTGAGGAGTAGTCTCATCACAGTGTTTCAGTTATGATTTGCATTCGTGTATATAATACTGTGTGCGTCGTTGCTGAATGGTGCAATACCTGCCAGTCAGGCGTATAATCCGGGTTCTTTTCTAGTCCGACTCACTCGTAAACGTCACCTAACCAGTAGTCAGCCGGAGAAAAACAGGGACAGAGGTTGGCGACTTCACCTTGTAAAGACAACACCACTGGAAGTGAAGCTTCAAGGATTGAGTTTGGAACTCAAAGAGCAGGAAAAACTCTACCGGGGATATCTCTCTAAAACTTTACCTTTTTGATTAAAAATGAGGATTTGAGTTTGAGGATTGTTTAAGGATTTTCTAGTATAGTTTAAAAATGGTTGACTTTTTGAATCACCTGGTGTTGCTTGACCGCAAGCTCGATGGATAACTGCTGGACGCTAATCATGCACGGTTTGTTTGAAGTGGCTTTTTTGAGTTGTGTGCGTATTAATTTCCAACCAGCAGCTATGGACCACCACAAAGTAAGCCAGGATGTGCAGTTTTTTTGGGTCGTCCGTCCCGTTGCCCGTCCCTCTTCAGAGTGGAAGGGCAGCGTAGATAGGCTTGCTGGTCATCTGTGGGAAAAATCTTACTGCCGTTATACCCCTATTCAACATCAGTACAAGTTCTTTCTCAGGCCCCAGCGTAATGCAAGAAACCGACACTATGATGGTATATACTTTTAGGTTAACTATCAAGAAGACCTTCCACGTTGTAGGACTATCATGAGCATTAGTTTCAGTCAGTGTAGCTTGTTGGATGATTACGATATGCATGCCAGATCACCACATCAAGGTAACAGCTGTCTCTCGAGTAGTTGAAAAGTGGAACTAGATTAACGGCTACAGACTTCTCAAGTGCCCGGATTTCGGAACCATGCTTTTTACATAACAGCTGACTATAGACAAACCCCACTGTCCAGTTTACAAGAAATAAATCACTATTAAGTAGTCGTTTTGCCTACCTAATTGTACACTTTCTGTCTGGATGGGTGAATACATTTAGGTCGTTCAGATATTTAAGGTCTTCAAAATAGTGAAAATCAATGGATGGAAGACTGTTAGAGGGGTATGATTGAAAATCGTACCCATAGGCTTCAATGTATTCACTCCTTGTCATTGTCCGTACTCTGAAACTCCTTCCTCAGGAGTCCTCGTCTGATTAGTTCTCTACCGCTTACATCTTCGTTCATTGTAATTGCATAAGATTTCCTTTTCTACTTTTGTGTATCTGTGTGCTTGAAAATTTGGCAACTTGAACTGGTTCATTTTGGGGGTTGGGTAGGATTTGAACATGAAAATCCATTGGATAAAAAAATGAATGTAAGAGACAATTGAGCTGTACTCACACTTATAGAGTAATAGATTTTTAAACAAAAAGACCGGTAAATTCCTCATGATTGTGATTAATTACATATAGGTAAATGCTTATTATCAACAGCTCTACTTTTAAGTCATGATATATATCTATTTATTCATTAGTAGAGAAAAAGACGTGTTTATTTTTGTTCAGCGAAAAAAAAATACTATTTCTTTCTTCCAATGACTTTATTTTCTTGAAATTTTACATACTACTGATTAGCTGAGATGAGTACTTGTACGCCACTTATATATCAACCAGTACTGCTATCAGACGCTAGGCAAATCGAGGTGATCTAAACCCCGGACAGCCGTTTCTGTCTGTCTGTTTTTGACATAGAACTTTGCACCGATGTGCAGGAGTTCAAGTCGCCAGACTCCCTCCATGTAGTACACAAAGCAAGAGAAGAAAGTAGAAGAAATGCATAATAGAGGCAGTAGACAAGGATATGAGACAAAGCAGTAGTAATAACGAAGAACAATATAGTTTTATTGAGTCACGAGGAGTGGATGCATCTGTGCTGTCATGGAGAACGATGAGTTTGAGCCATATCAACAATTGTTTCCAACCATTGGTTTTTACCATCCCGAGGACCCCAACCACGAAAGCTACACCTTCCTACGTGGCTAGCTTAAACTAACTGTTGTGGATTTCACTGACTGATGAAGTCATGTTTTGGTTTGACCACCAAGTGATAGCTCTTTTCTAGCCTGACCGTATGTCAGGTAACATTGTTCATTGTCGAGGAAGGCGATGGCTAGGCAGGTATGCGTAACACATGTCCTAACCATCTCAGTCGATGTAGCTTCACAGCCTCGTCGATTGACTTCCCCCCTTTACCTAGCACTCGATGCCTAACCTTAATATTGCTCACAGCCGTTTCAGGTCAAGCTAGTCCGTAGTGTACCACGGTTTTGACTCTACTCAGACAGCTGCTGAATCAGTTCAACGCATCTAATTTCTGGCTAGCTAGCTACCTAAGGTGAACTAAAATGACATTATGAATCAAATTCAAAATTAGAAAATTGTAAATTTGACTTCATTTACGAGTAGGTGTACAGTTAATTTGTCTGTAAAGGGAATACCGAGAAAATACATTACAGTGATCAAGGCACTCTACTCAAACTCATGCAGCCAGGTGAGGTCTCAGATATGATCTAGTCCTTTTTGAGTAGCTCAGGAAAGGCTGAGTGGTGGTAGGGGGACAATGAAGAATAATAGGTGAGATGAAACAGTTAACAAATTGTAAAAGTGGAGAGGTTGAGTGATTCCTGATTGTCTTCACTTCTTTACTGTGTGTAGAAGGTTAGCGGAAATATTTTCTTAGAAATCGAATATGGATGACCCACCAAGAAAGGTCAACTTTGAATGTCGAACTCGTAAACAGTGTCTTCTTTGGCACTATGATTTTCTTTTCCTTTCAGTCATTGACAATAATTTATATCTATATAAGGTGTAATATGAAAAACACTCACCTTGTGTATCTTTATAAAGTGTATCACATTTAGTTTTCTTATATTGATTGAAGTGTTTCTACTTTTTGGGGTTGTGATATCAACTCACTACTGTAGGTTGGTCAAGCTGGTGAAAATGCTGTCAGAATGGCTATTGAAGATTCTGTCGGTGAAATGGGCTCTGCAACACATCCTCTTTTACCTGAATGTCCTACGGGGGATTTGCAACGCCTGCTTTAAGTCTTCAACGTACTCCAATGGCTATGATAGATACTGTAACAAGAGTAAGTCTCGGTTTCATTCGTTTATTTTCTTATATATTTATTTATTATAATTACTCTAAGAGAGGTTCTGGTTGAAACATAGGTCTTCACCAGCACGTTTTCATTTCATCCTGTTTTCTGCGGTCGTCCTTAGCTGGCTCCTCTTCCTTCTCACACGATCTTCTCTATATCGCTTTCAAACTGCAGCCCAACTAGGTTGTTTTCTATTCGGATTCTTCCAGAGGACCTGGCGCGCGATGTTACTCAACGGTCTTCTGAGCGTGTGTCCACTTCATCACCATTTTCTTCAGTGTGCATATGTTGAGCGATAGGTTGTTGGTTGATTCATTGCCGGGATTCCTCGTTACGTATCGTTTCTGGCCATCTGATTTTCAGAAATGACACAGTGAAGGCATCTGTTGATTAAAGTCTTTAGCCTATAATGAAATGTGTTTTGGTGACTTGGTCGCCAAGTCTCTGAACCAACATAGAAGCACTGACTACTGTTTTGAAATTAATGTTGAAATTCCGAGTTTATTTTTCCTTATGATTAGTGGATTAGATTGCCGAACTGATTTAAGATGAATCATTTGTCTTTCCCTTTCGATCCTGGCTGGTTTTGACATCCCCATTCCTTCCTCCTGTAGTTGAAACGATGCGCTGCTATTTGTTCATGGATTTTAAGTGAAATCGATCAATTCACAGTCTCCTACTCATAATGCAAAAAAGCTGTCTGCGATTGAAACGTTCATTTCCGTGTCTCCAAAGTATGATGGAGGCAATGAAGATGACACATTCACGGTACTTGAAGGTGTAACAACAGAAGACAAGGGCCAGGCAACAGATCCTTTATTTATGAAATCAACAAATATTTATAGATTTTCATGTACATTATTATAGATTATTGTTAGCAGATAAACACCACTGTCTTCTGATTGGTTGTTTCTCACAGAAAGTTAACCTTGCATCTCTCTGTGACTGTTTCTTGATTGACAGATCATCTATATGCTAACTGTAGGCGCCTACGCAAAGTTTACTGTGGTTGGTTGTTGAATCAGTCTTTGATCATATTTTTCTTACGACCAATATTGGGGACGTACACATTGACGTAAATTACTATCTACCGATTTGGATAGCAGCCTGCTCTCACCACAAAGGCATGATATATATATATATATATATATATATATATATATATTTTTGAACACATCAACTCAAAAGTAGAGACAAGTGGATTCACTTGTGACTTGGAACGTCATGTGAAGGGTGGGGGGGGGAGCGTCTCCGATGTTGGATTGTATCATAAAAAAGAAGACAAATGGGGAGGTAAACACACTAGTGTTTACAGAGAGCTGACACATTCAAACTGATGTACAGATTTGGGTACATCCCACCCTATGTCAGTAAAAACAGGATTGGCAAAATGTTTAGATAATAAGACAGAAAAACTGAAAAATACCAAGGAGAAAATCTATGAAAGGAAGTGAGGCGGCCTGTAGGAGAAGCTTTAAAACTTAATAAGGCATCCTGACAAACTAATTAGGAAGTCTGTAGGAAAATGTGGGAACAATAATAGTAATGACGCGACATGCATGTCAAACATGTACAGAATTGATGACAACACCAACAATTAATAATTTAAATTATCCGTGGTACTTCCATACAAGGATGGAATCACTGAAATCTTGTGTAGAATTCTTAACAAAGTGCAGAGCAGAGGTACAAGTGGCATTCAAAGTCACAAAATCAATTAGAAACAAGCTTTGTCGGTTATAGGACCAATCCTATGGAGCCTATTAAACAAAATAATTTAGTTTATCTGGTGTACCTTGCAACGACTGTCTGGTCAAATACGTAGATCGATCAGGATAGTAGAACTTGAGCCAATAAGATTATCAGCAAAATTTAGCTTAGTTGACCTTAATAAGATAAGAAATCTAGAAAAATAGCTTAACTATAGTGTAACAACAGAAGACAAGGGTCAGGCAACAGATCGTTTATTACGAAAATCAACACGTATATATAATATTTCACATACATTATTATAGCTTATGCAAGTAGACAAGCGCAGTCTTCTGATTGGTTGTTTCGGGATTCCTCGAAAAATAGAGTTCTCTATCTGCGAATCATATTTTGCCACGTTAAGTTGCTGTGATTGGTTGTTGAATCAGCCTTGTACATATTTTCTCACGACCTGATCTCACCACAATAGTACTAGATGTAATCACACACAACCATACAACAGAATGTCGGCGACCATACCACGTTGAAAGCATCGGTTCTCGTCCAATCACCGAAGTTAAGCAACGTTGGGCCCGGTTAGTACTTGCATGGGTGACCGGCTGGGAATACCCGGTGTTGCCGGCTTTGAGTGAGTCGGTGGCACAGCGGTTGGGATGCTCGCCAACCATGCATATGGTCCGGGGTTCGATCCCCGGCCGACGCACTCCTTTACCTTGCCAAGCCAGAAATGATGCTGGTAAAGAGGAAAGGTTGGGCATGAGGCTAGCAACCGAAAACACTGTGGAATCAAGCTGTAATCAAAAATAATATAAAAATAAAATAAAATTGTGTTCAAAACGGCATCCAGCTTCACCTCGTTGTTTTACCGACTTAATTACTTAATTCTGCACTTGGTAAGCAGAATAAGCTTGATGAGTTACAGATAGTCCAACCGGAAATCCTTAATGGGGATGTTCGCGGAAGCCTAAGGACTCGTTGACATATTTGAAAATCTTCTGATAAGCTTTTTACGAAAAGTCACGAGGTTTTCATTCAGGCGTTCATGGTAGCATTGTGTATGCTTGCGAACTCAGTGATTTGTAACTAAATGTCAATTATCTTTCTTATCGTTAAATTGTTGTTATTATTACTGTTAAACCACAAATTTGGTACATTATAGGCACCAAGAGAGGCGCCACAAAAAAAACTCCATAGTTTATGCTAAGGCTGGGATACTTCTTGGACGCTCAGTCCGAAACCGGTGGTTGTCTTAATGGGCCATTTGCTGAACCATTGACTTAAAGTTGGATCCTTACACAAGGCAGTAAGCATCGGCAGCTATGTCCCTATGGTTCAGTCTAGTTGTAAGCGTCTTAAGTTTGGATTTGCCCCTTCACGTTTATGAGGAACACAGTGACAGCTTGAAGGTGGTGAGTGTGACTTATCTGACAGAGGCTTCGAACGTCTGGTAGCTACATGAGAGCAGTACGAGAGGTAGACTGAAATTGACTCACCCTCTCGCCAGCATTACGTCGTTTATAGGGACTTTCGTTAAATACTGGTATCATTTATAATGTAATGTACCTGAGGAATTGTTACCATCCAATTCATCTGTGGTATACTTTGTATATTACGCAGTTATTATTATTATTGTTCCCTTGGGTTCATAGTGGAACATAAGGCTTCAACTGCACGTCTCCACTTGCCACCTCTGTCTTCCTTCTGCTGTACTTTTCACCTGCGTCCATATTAGTTAGTCCATACTGTTTCAACTCCTCTTCATACGATCGCCTCCTCCATGTCACCACTGCACTGACGACCCACTCGCCGCTCCCCATTCTGTCGGGTTCCACTCGAGGGCTTTACGCGCGATGTCACACAGCGGCCTCCTCAGCGAGCGAGTGTCCAGTCCATCTCCACTTTCTCCTGCATATTTGTTGGTCGGCGATTGGTTCTTGTTTTGTTTGTTCCCATAGTTTCCAATAGTCGGTGATTCTTTTCGGCCCGGCCATCTGATCTTCAGTATAGAGCCAGCGAAGACAGTTGTTGGTTGATAAAGGTCTGCAACAGGTTGTTGGAAATATTCTTTGTGATCCGCTCGCCAAGTTTCTTATCCGTATAGAATAGCTGACTGACTTGACGTTTGTATTGAAATTCTGACTGAATTTTGTTGTTGATGCTGAGTGACGAAGATTTCCAGATTGGTTTCAGGTTGATGAAAGTGTTTCTAGCTCGCCTTCCCGATTTTCGCTCGATTTGACATCCTCATCCGTTCCTCCGTTCCTGTAGTTGAGACAATGCTCCCTAGATAAGTGAATGAAGTGATCTCTTTCAGTTAGTAGTTATATTTTATATTCCATTATATGGGTTAGTCGTGTTATAGTTTTAATTCTTTTTTTTGTGTGTGATTTTTTACAGGAAGCTCAGAATATTTTAGCCTTACAACAAGTACAAACTCCACTGAAAGGTGGTGAAAATACTCCATTGGTTGGAGAATCCGATTTCTCGGGCACCACACCACGTCTACCAAGTAATCTATCCACACCGAACATTCTACTACCGAGTCAAATAGTCGGTGCCACACCATTTCGTACACCGAATATCATCGAAAATGGTAGGTTTTAAAGTGTTTTTTTTTTGTGTTTTATAATGGTTACCTGCTATGAATTGGTTTTGAAATGATCTTCTATTTAGTGTCGTCTTTTTCTTTGGTATAATCAATTATATGAATGGTGTTGAGAAGGACCAATCAATACAGTTCGATAAATTTGTAAATTCCTCTAGGTTTGTGGTAGTTAGAACCTATCAAGCAGGCCTACTGGTCGTTGTCTGTCTGTTTTCAACGTAGAACTTTGCACCGATGTGCAGAAGTTCGAGTCGACACACTCCATGTGCCACACAAAGCCAGAGAAGAAAGTAGAAGAAATGGATAATCGAGACAGTAAACAGGGATATGAGGCAAAAGGAATAGTAATAACGAAGAACAAAATAGTTTCATTGGAAATCATAAATCACAAGGAGTGGATGCATCTGCGCTAGCCATTGAGAACGATGAGTTTGAGCCATATCACTAATTGTTTCTAGCCACTGGTTTTTACCGTCCCAAGGACCCCAACGAGATTGGCAGTCTACACCTTCCTACGTGACTGGCTGGCTTAAACTAACTGCTGTGGAGTTCATTGACTGATGAAGTCATGTTTTTGGTTTGACCACCAAGTGATAGCTCTTTTCCAGCCTGACCGTATGCCAGCTAACATTGCCCGTTGTCGAGGAAGGCAATGGCCAGGCATACGTAACACGTGTCTTAACCACCTCGTCGATTGATTTCCCCTCCTCCTTACCTAGCACTCGATCGACGCCTAACCTCAATATTCCTCACCTTATTATGCCACTTCACACTAATCGTTGACTTCAATTTAGTGTGTTATGTATGCTAGGATTAGCTTAGAAAATTCTGTAAAGCTAGACCAAGATGCTTAGGGGCTGGGGGCTATTCCTTCAAGTTACAGACTGCTGGTGGTACCTGCGTTGATATCCATAGAACAACTGGAACGTATGAGGGAAGAAGACTTCTAAAGTCTCCATTGGTTCAGAGTTATTCTCTGAGCGGAGTCAAATCCGGGTACACAACTGTGATGAGTTCTGCTTCAAACGAGTGGAATAGCTTCCGATTGGCTGGCTGGTTGATGTGAGTAACTGTATCCAACTACTTATATCAATCAATCAGTAGTATATATGTATAAAAGTATACCATAATGCATCTATCCCGGCTTTCTTGATTACCATTTATGATATCAAGCGGATCTCATGCATTTCATTCTGAATAGTATCGTTTTCCAAAGGAAACTATATTTCATTAAGTTCACTTCAAACTGCGTCGCGGGCAAATCATGAATTTTACTCACTGTATTTATTCTTTATCTTATCTAACTTTTCTAATGGCATTTTATCCGACAGTGATTGACTTGTTGCCAGGGAATAATCTCGTTGACTTAGAACATGTAGATGATATAGTACCCTCTTTCCCCGGGTGAAGAAGCTGACAAAATAGAGCAGAGTCTTCTGAACACCTTGAGCTGCTATCTGTGAATGTTTGGCATGCGATTCGCTCTCGCTGTCAAATGTTAGATGGTGCTACAGGACTGGACTACATTGACTCCTAGCTTAGAAGTAAGGAGTAAACTGGTAGAACGTGTTGACCACTTCACTTATTTGGGTAGTTGCATGAGCCAGTGCCAACAGCTGGATCGCTGACGAAATCTCAGCAGGGATACAGAAGGCTGGTTTCGCGTATGCCAGTTTACACCGTCTGTGGCGTAGACGTGATATCCGGCTAAGTGTCGATCAAAGGACATGTGTACTGCTCAGCAGTCACTTCATTCCGTTCTCCTCTATGGCTGTGAGACCTGGCCATTGAAAGTGAAAGACATGAAAAGAATGGCTGGCTGTCTTTGATCATAGGTGCCTGCGTTCTATCACTTATGTGAAGTGATATGATAAAGTGAGTAATATTGAGGTTAGGCATTAATCGAGTGTTAGGTAAGAAGGGGAAATCAATCGACGAGGTTGTGAAACTACATCGACTGAGATGGTTAGGACGTGTGTTACATATGCCTAATCGTCGTCTTCCTCGAGGACAGGTAATGCTAGCTGATATAGGGTCAAGTTGGAAAAGAGCAAGTGATGGTCAAACCAAAACATGACTTCATCAGTCAATGAAATCTACAACAGTTAGTTTAAGCCAGTCAGCCAAGTAGGAAGGTGTAGACTGCCAATCTGGTTGGGGTCCTCGGAACAGTAGAAACCAATGAAGAATGAAGTCACTTGGTGATGTGGCTCAAACTCATCGTTCTCAATGGCTGGCGCAGATGCATCCACTCCTTATACTACCCAATAAAACCATATTGTTATTCGATACTACTATTCCTTTTGTCTCATATCTCTGTCTACTGTCTCTGTTATGCATTTTGTTTTACTTCTCTTGGTTTGTGTGCCTAATGGAGGGAGAGTGGCGACTTGAACTGGTGTACATCGGGGTAAAGTTCTATGTTGAAACCAGACAGACAATTCAGTCTTATATATTTATTTTAATTCCGGTTGTTTGTGCATACCTAGCTACCACAATGTTATTTAACATAGTGTTAATTTAGAAAAGAATTTGAGGTGGTCAGACCAAGACCTGGCATCACTCCATAAAGTTTTAGTTAGTTTGGAGCAAGCCACCTAGACTGAGGTGTATAGCCTGCATGATTGGGGCCGCACAAGGTGCTGAGAAGCAATGGCTGGATAAAGGCCGTCATTCATTACTTTTGTTGTTCAAACTCAAAAGTAGAAGCATTTCAAGTTGGATGACTACCAGAGAACCAGTGACAGCTGTCTGACCGTAGTGCTTGGAACTCTTCAACGTCAAGTATCCATTACGCGACTGCTAACAATTGTATTCCGGGACCTTCAGGTTACGTGGTGAGTTCGTCGATCATTCGGTCAGTCTCTGGGAGTGAATCCAGCCAATGAAATCCCTACACACTAACACTTGAAAGCCGCTGTGGTGCTCACTCGTGACAGGCTAGGGAGCGTAGTTACCTGGATTTCTTAGAAATTGTGACCATCGGGGTCCACCAGGTTAGGTCGGTGTCGTTCGGAATTCAATGACCCTTTTGAATTCTAACCTCTGTTCGCATAATTCGCATTCTTTATATTCAAGTATTCGCCTTCATCAATGAATTAAGACGTTCAATCTGTTGGCTGGTTGGTTGGTTAGTTAACCTTGTTTTTTTATTGCAATATCAACAGGTACTCCAAATGTTCTAATGGGTGGTGGCAGTAATACACCTGGTCCGATGAGAGTCGGCGAGCAAAATGGTCCAGTACCCATGAATACCCCGCTAAGAAATCGTCTTAATATCAATTCATCAATTGACGAGAATAATATCGATGCTCTTGATCATCAAGATGGTGCTGCTGCCGGTTTCTATGATATCACTGCTGTAAAAACAAATCTCCGGAAAAGTCTAGCTAATCTTCCAACACCAAAGAATAATTTTGAAATATTTATCCCTGATGAGAATGCAGTTAATGGTAATGATGATGATGAAAGTGCTATCGGTGGTGGTACTGTTGATATGGATCAACTTGAAGAGGATAAAGGATCTGCGGCAAAAATTCCTGATCAATCAGATCTGGACAGACAGTCAGAGATAGAACGAGCTAAAGCTGCTGAATTAGAATGGTCTAAGCGTAGTCAAGTGGTGCGTCGTTCACTTCCTAGGCCATCAGCTGTTAATCATACAGTGTTACGCAATATGCCGGGTGGTGGTGGTGGTGATTCAACAAATCAACCACCTCAACAAGAAGCGAATATGACGGATTTGCAAAAGGTTTGTCACATTGTGAATGATTTTGTTTAATTTCTATTGAAATGTGTGTCCATGGTATTTGAATGATTTCAAGTCTTGATGTGAACGTTCCTGTGATGAAACACCCTAATATGGTCAGTAGACTAAGTCACTTAATCTAGTATTCTTTTCATAATATTAAACGAATTTGATTATACATCCAACTCATCCAACAGTTGTACGACAATGCTGTATGCCAAGTAATTCACAACGGGAAACTTACGGAATCCTTTGAAGTGAAGACGGGAATACGACAAGATTGGTTGGCTGCCTACTATCTCCAAAGATTAATTTCCTGATTGCAATAGATTGGATAATGCGACAGACAACGGGCAATGAGGAAACAGGCATAAAATGGACTCACACAAAAAACTTGGAGGATCTGGACTTCTCCGATGATGATATATGTCTGATTTCCCACAAACTGGAAGATATGCAAGTGAAAAGCAACAAGCTGGCAGAAGGAGCATCCAGAGAAGATAAGGCTTCAAGTGAGTATAGAGAAAACAGAGGCAGGTGATGAAGATTCCTGGCCAACACCACCACCAACAACAACAGACAACAATCAGCAGCATAAATGCGAGGTACCTGAAGGAAAAAACCTTGTTTACCTACCTACCTGGAAGCATCGTTTCAACCGCACGTGGAACTGACGAGGATATCAAAGCAGCGAGGAGCGGGAAAGCAAGACAAGCTGTCATTTCTCTAAAGTCTGTGTAGAGGTCAACAGCACTCGGAACTCAGTATGAAAAAACATTATACGAATTTTTTAACCAATGTGAACTCAGTCAGTGCGTCTCATAAAGAGCACCTCAAACAAACTACAGACCTTCACCAACAGCTAGATGTCTTCACTCAATACCACTCAAGATCATATGGCCGGCCAAAAAGATCAGCAACAGGGATCTCTGGGAGCTAACCAACCAGGAAGCGATTGTGAAACAAATATGCACGAAGAAATGGAGATGGATTGGCTGGCCATACTCTGAGGAAACCATCAAGTGACATCACTAGATAAGCCGTCTGGTGGAACCCGAGTTGGTCGCCCAAGGGTGACCCCAACCAGTCAGGAAGTCTACACCTCCCTACATGACTGACCTAAACTAAGTGTTGTAGATTTCATTGACTGATGAAGTCATGTTTTGGTTTGACCACTTGATATGTATCCATATATATATATATATATATATATATATATATAGGTGTATGGTGGTCTCTCTTTCTGTTGCTCTCTTAGTCTGTGACCATTTCACTTTGATGAACCTGTCTCCTTTAACAATGTATATTCCCCTTATAGTATATAGAATATGTGTGTTTGTTGACAGTCTGTTCTTGGTGATATATATATATATATATATATCCATATAATATGTGTGTTCGTTTGACAGTCTGTTATATTTCGCTATGTATATATGGATCGATACTCCATTATAATTAGCCAATCATGTTAAGACTGTCTATTGATTAGTTCACTCACTTGTTTGGACATTCATATATATTTTGCTCTCACACTATTTTGTGTTACATTTGATTCTCCTTGTGTTTGGAAAATAGAAGTATCATCGCAAACCTAGTAGTCTTCTGATTTCCGTCTTTCTTGCGTCAGGACTATTAAATTCTCGACCAGTACATAGCAATAATTTGCCGACGGGGAAAACTACTGTTAACCACTCAGCAGCAGCAACATAACACCACTACTGCCTAACTCTTTTCCAACCTGATCCACTCTATGTCAGCTAACATTACTCGTGACTAAATGGTCAACGAGGTCGCCTAGCGCCGCCTGAAGGCTCTAGGTTCGAACCCCACTGGGAGTATAGATACATACTGTTGAAGAGTCCCAGAGAAGTCCGAGAGACGCGATAGCTGTTCAGCACTCTTCGGATTCTGTTGGTTCTCTAACTGGCCTCGGTTAGGGATCACATTCACATTGTGTGTGCGTGTGCGTGTGTGTGTATATAAACTCTTTGTATTTTCCCCGTTTGAAATTCATAAGTTTTTCTTCTTTTTATCGCTTTTCTTTCTCTTCAAAAATTAGGCTGAAGAATTAATCAAGCAAGAAATGGTCACAATGATACATTATGATAATTTGAATAATCCTCCACCGAATCAACTTTTGGATGCAGCGAAACAAACATTGGTGACAACTGGTGGTGTTGCACCAGCTAGTCAACAACGACGTTACCTGCAACAATTGAAAGCTACACATGAAAGCTTTTTAAAAGACTCACCATATGAACCATTCAATCCAGAGGATTTAAAAGAGGTAATGTGTAATGTGATGTGCTTAATGAGCCTGTCTGTTTGTTTGTTTGTCTGTGTGTGTGGTTTGTGTAATTGTTTATGTATCTGTAAAACTTGAGCACTATGGTAGTAAGTAATTCCATATTAGTTTGTTTATTAGATGTATTACACTGGGAGTGAAACAGTATTATATACTGGATGACGTTTGTGACAAAATTTTAGTGCTTTTAATTGGTGGATGGTGGCTAGCAGTGGAATCCAGGATGCGCATTTCATTCTATTTGGGACTCATCATATAGATGTGCCTGCATTCCCCACTGTTAGTCATCATCCACCAATTAAATTCTAATTACATGCCCGGACATCGTCGTAGCATCTGCACAAGAAGTCGTCAGAGATATCAACCTGAGACCGAGCACTTCGGTCCAATCAATCGACGGGAAAATATAAAATTCAATTAAACAATTTATTGCTGTTCATAATCATATCAATTATAATTACACGACTTTGAAACTTGAGTTTTATAGTGTTCTTTGTTCTCTCCTATTTGTCGTGGTTGAGGTAGTAGAATTTTCCAGATATATCTGCGTGGACAGGTGTTGAATCATTCCTGTCACACCTGTTGGTTTGCAGTTGATTCGATAAAGAAAGTTTCGAAGTTTTATAGTTATAACTGATATGATTATGATTAGCAATCAATTGTGTTCGAAACTGTGTTATCCTGTGAATAATAATACTGTTACACTCATTGTGTTATACATGGCGTTTTTAGGAGGTTTGGCAAAGTTAAACTTTCGACACCACTAACAACCAATCAGCAAACGACCTCGAACGGACCAATCACATTAAAGAGGCATATATGATGAGTGGAAATGTATATTTGTAGAAAAAAGCATAAAATGGATAATAAAAAAAGTTACATGGGATATCTTTCTCGAACATGTGAGAGAAAAATCTCCCAGTTTATCATGGGACTGTCAATGGAGAAGTTACACCATATCCTGTACATATATTCATCCAAATGACTATAAATGAGATCCTTTTGAGATATATTTATAGCCTTTATCCTATTTTCCAACTTGCCCCAAAATCCTTCATTAGAATTTGTATGTGTCCTCGTAACGGGATCCACAAAATCACTTGAATGGTTGTCTCTACGATGAATATATCCCAGAGATGACAGCGAATTGTAGCCTTTCCGTGTGTATAATTGACCCCCGCTTAACAATTCTGGTAACAATAGGTATAACAGTAGTTGCTTTTCTATCTGCTATCCTTAGGGAGAGAAGCGACCTAGCGAAAAAAGTTCCTACGAAATAATAAAATTATCAGCATACCCTCTCTAGTGTTAGTAGGCTTCAAACATATAGCACAACGATGAACAAACCCATCAGTTGATTTGGTATAGCTTTTTAAAGTCATGATACCACCACACAATCAAATTCGTTCTTTCCGGAGCAACTGAAATCTAGGAAATACTGGGAAACACTAACCTCCTCGAATTGCAACAACAGTCTTGTAAGGTCACGCATTAGAAATGAATCAGGCGCTATACAACATTGAACTGCGTTCGTGAACCTCATTGGATAATTCGACATCGTTCGTGAATCTCATTGGATAATTCGCTGATTGGTAGTTAGTGGTGTCGAAAGTTTAACTTCGCCGGAGGTTTGAATGCCACTTTGATTTCTGCCTTATTAAGAATTCTGGGTAAGTTTTCCGAGGTTTCTTCCTTGTATGGAATTACTACTGATGATTTAGATTCCTTATTGTTGGTGTTGTCATTATCTCGCGCATGTCTGACATGTATGTCGTCATTAATATTATTATTATTATTATCCCTATCACTACTATCATTATTTGTTATATTTTTTTACATTTCCCTACATGCTTCCTGATTTTTTTTTATCACGTAATTATTAGGTTTAAAAGCTTCTCCTATATGCGTCACGTTTTGTCTTAGATTTTCCTTGGTGCTTCTTAGTTTTTGTGCTCTATCGCTTAAATATTTACCAATCGTATTTTCACTGACATAGGATGGGATGATCGGAAGTTCAAATATCTGTTTGAATGTGTGGGTTTCTGTAAACACACACTAGTGTGTTTAACTTCCCATCTTCTTTCCTTTCTACTCTGTAATCTAACAATGGTAGTTCCCCTTACCGACTTTCTAATTCATAAGTGAATTGAATTGCCTCCACCTTTGAGTTAAGGTGTTCGAAAAATCTATCTATATCTTGTGTTCTAAGTACAGTGAATGTGTCATTTACATATCTCCACCATACTTCGACTCTGGGTGGGACTATGTTTTCCCACCTATTCATGAATATATCTGCTACAACCGGGATATTGGTGACCCCCGTCAGTTTGTTTGTATATTTTCCCCTGGAATTTAAATACTGTGGAAGTCAGGCATAGTTACACCCCCAGCATTATGTCATCAAGTGGCATATCGTCCATAGTTCAAATTCTCGGTCAGAAATAAGTTCGTTTCTGACTGCCTCTATAGCCATATTTATTGGTATTGGAAAGATGTTTTTTATCATTTTGGCATCAGTTCCAGTACCCAGTACGAAATATCGGCACGTCATTTGTTGACTTATGACATCCCTGCGACGTAGACATATGACATCCTGCTGACTGTCGATTAAAGGATGTGTGTTGCTTGGCAGCAGTTCTCTGTCTCTGTCCTTCTTTATGTCTGAAACAGCCTCCATTGAAAGTGGGGAACATATGAAAAAGGTAGTGTAATGGTAAAGGACAAGAGGCTTGGTAACGGAATGTGCTTACTTGCAATCTGTTATCTCTATATGGGAATTATGTACACCTTATCTGAAAATCATCACTTGCTACTTCTGACCCTCGTATTTTGTTTGTTTGTCCTCTTTTTTTGGTGTCTCCCATGTTTTGTCGCAATATACTAGTTCATTTCCTCTCTTTGACGTCGAATCTATCTCTCCTTTATTTGATATTTTTGTGCAGATCAACGTGTCTGCCTACATACTACTGATAAATGTAGTCAGTAAGATGCACCACTTTAGGTGTGTCTTTGACCACAGATGTTTCCGTCCTATTTCCTGTGTTAAGTGGTAAAGTGGGGGGGGGGTGAGCAATATTTTGGTTAGGCATAAAGTCCTAGTTAAGGTGAGAAAGTTAGTCGATGAGGTTGTGAAATTACATTGATTCAGTCGAGATGGCTAGGACACACATGTTGCGCATACTGAACGACATACGATTAGATTTTAGAAGACTTTGGGGTTGGTCAAGTGAAAATCAGGATCTGATCGATGAAGTTGTTGATTTTTAATTTGGGCAGATGTTCACTGTCTATTTATGGCCCTTGGAATGTTAAGAACTAACGGCTAGTGTAAGTTTTCTGTCTGTCTGTCTGTCTGTCTGTTTTCGACATAGAACTTTGCACATATGTGCACCAGTTCAAATCGCCACACTCCCTCCTGTAACATTATCTTACTTTTGGCGAGAGCGAATCGCATGCCAAACACTCGTAGATTGCAGCTCAAGGTGTTCAGAAGACTGCATTTTTTCAGCGTTTTCACCTAGGAGAGGGGACTATACCATCTGCATATTCTAAGTCAGCGAGATTATATCCTGGTAACAAGTCAATCCCTAGGTCTCTGAAGTGAGTTAGGGTTGAATCCATTAGTACGTCTATGATGAAATTGAATAATAATGGGGATAATGGGCATCCCTGAAGGACACCACTAGTCGTCACCACTTCAGATGACAACTCGCCGTAAGCCCTCACCTGGCTGTATGAGTTTGAGTAGAGTGAGTGCCTTGATCAGTGCAACGTATTTTCTCGACATTCCCTGTTCAAACTGCTTTGTTGGCACACTGTCAAGTCTCTGAATCACCTAAAAGTGTTGAAAATGCGGATCTTGTTCCGTATGCTTAGTGTAGCAGATTTCCATATTCGTTTCAGATGAATGAAGACTTGTCATCTTTTTCCCATCGTCTCGTGGTTTTGACTCCATTAAATGGAAGATTTTGTTTTAAGTGTGTGTCGATAATGTCGCTACTTTGATTTTTTTCATAATCTGTGTGTATACTTTGGTCTATCGATAACAATGTTCTGGGTGAAATTTTTAATCGGTCCTTAGCATCTATCAACTTTTGTTCTACTTAACTTCACAACCCTTTTTGTTGGTGACGTGGTATATATCTGGTGTAAGCACTCTACTTTCAACCAGTGGAGTCCTGGGTTTGGATCCATCTCCGCCTATCTCAGCCTGATCGACTGGCTAGTTTCACCAGCCCTCAAAAAATCAAGTGCAACTGATAGTTTGCAACATGCGGGACCTATTGTGGCAATCATCCTTATGACTGTCTTTTTCCGCATTAGGTTTTGTCTTGTACTTTAAACTACTGATTTATTTATAAGTAGCTAAGTGTATTGTCCTCATTTATCCTGCATAATGATAGGCGGAGAAGCTACTCGAAGAAGAAATGCATGTTGTACGCAATGGTATGGGTCATGGTGAATTATCCGCTGAAGCTTATGCAAAAGTTTGGCATGAATGTCTAAGTCAAGTACTGTATTTACCAGCTCATAGGCGTTACACACGAGCTAATCTTGTGACAAAACGTGATCGTATAGAATCACATGAAAAACGATTGGATCAGTTGCGTCATCTTATGGCTGAAGAGGCGAAACGTGCCGCGAAAATAGAAAAGAAGTTGAGAATTCTACTTGGAGGTTATCAGGTAAACTGATTTTGAGGTAGAGAGAATACTGTGATAAAATTTTTCAATATCTTTTTTTCATGATGCGCTCAATTTCAGTTTTCAACTGAGAAGAGTATGGATAATGAGCAGCTGTCATATGTATCAAGCTGTCAACTACAATTTATCAGAAGTCATTCTGTAACGACAAAAGATAGGGGCCAGATAACAGATCCTTTATTGAGAAGACCAAGAGATATTTATCTATTTTTATGTACACTATTATTAGGGTAATTGTCAGCGGAGAAGCAACGTCTTCTGATTGGTTGTTTTGTTGCTGGAGGTTATTCTGTACTGCTTGTGACCGTTTCTTAGAAAGTAAGGTCATACATCTGCGAATCGTATTTGCGCACGTTAAGTCTGCTGTGATTGGTTGGTGAGTTCCTGAAGGTTAGGCTTTGTTATTGTGCTTTTTTCTCATGACCCCGATTCGGGACGTGAACATTGACATCAGTTGTTGTCTACAATTTTGGCTAGTAGACAGGTCTCATCACATTTCTAGTTAGTTAGTCAGTGGTGACCACCAGCGGAATCGATAGTACGCATTTCGTCCTACTTTGAACTTGTCAGCTGCATGTGCGTGGACTCCTAGCTAGTGGTGGTGTTCCTAATGAGGCTCGAACCAATAACCTATTATGCAACAAATATGCTAAAAGAATAAATGAGACATATTGAAGAGACACCATCGAATGACATCATACTCCAGGAAAATATACTCGAATGGATGCCAAATAGGGGGGGGCGACGACTAGTTGGTTATCTCTGATAGGTTGATAAATATGAGATCGTGTGAAGAGATAAAAGCTTATCGGCTGTTGTGGAGCCCAGCTATCAACGACTGCAGAGAACCGAGTGCAAGGGAGATGTTCTATAGAAGCCATATATTCCACTCGTAACCTAAGAGGAGAGACAGGTTCAAATATCGTGAGAAAAATCATTGTCTTCGAGGTCGCAGATATACGCCCTGCTGATTGATAAGTACCGACAAACACAAAACACAAGATCCAGGACTTCCTGTCTACCACCAGTTAATACTAATTCGTAGTTGATTCGTTGCCAGTGCATTTATTACTAATAGTTTTTCAAATTTTTGTAAATTGTATTTGTATATTTGTTAATTTTTTTTGAATTTTGTGTTATGATTTTTAAAAATATCTTAATATATGCGTGGGTATCATGTATCGTAACTGATAAAATCTCGGATGATCATCAAAATCGATGCAGTTTTCCTCCCTTTCTCTCTCTCTCTCTCTTTTGTAGTCACGTGCTCAAACTTTAATGAAAGCTATCGAAGAAAGCGTCGATCAAATTGAACAAGGTTACATGGAACTGACCACTTATGAACGACTTCATGAACAAGAGTTATGCGCTATCGCAAGACGTTCTGATGTAAGGCTTATTCTGTTTTTTTGTTTGTTTTGCTTTTTTTCATTATATTTTTATTTTATTTTTTTAAATTAAAGCACAAACTCTGAAGGGTGGGATACTACATGGACCCCCTATGCTCGAAACGGGTAGTTGTCATATGGGTCCGACCTTACTACCCTACCCCAGTCTTCGGTTTAAAGTTTAATCTTGACATAAGGCAATGGAGAGGCTTTCGGAGCTATGTGTGTCCATGGTTTCCAGTGACACCGTTCAATCCTCTAATATGGATAAAATTTTATTTTGACAAATCGCACACAGTGTGTTGTTATACAGTAATATTAACTGATGCGACCACGTTTCGAGCACAAACTATTGCCACTCATATTCGTATCAAGCCACTACTCACACAACTTTTTCCTTCATTTATATATTTTTTTTATTTTCCTGCACGTTCCCAATGGAACATAGGGCTCCAAGCTAGATGCTTGAAGTTTCTGTAGCAGTGGTGATTATTTTTACAGGATGGGGTTGCTAGCCTCATGCCAAACCTTTCCTCGTCACAAGTCTCACTACTGGCTTAGCGAGGTAAAGGAGTGCGCCGGCCGGGGATCGAACCCCGGACCATGTGCATGGTCGGTGAGCGTCCTAACCGCTATACCACCGACGCATGAGAGTAATTGACGATTAGACATTTGAATAAAAATCACTATTGAATAATGAACATTTAGAAAATAATATAAGTGTTATTCATCAATGACAATCAGATGGGAAATAAGACGAGTGTTTATATAGTCAAAATAAGTAACTTGTTAGAATGTTAAGATGTACGTGAATTGAAATAGAATTTTGAGATTATTTATTATCCTCCTCTGATTTCCCTTACTGATTGACTGACAGATTGGTGGTAATAATATCTTTCATGCATATCTCTGGTATTTGCATTGAGTCATTTCTGTTGCATGTGTTCGGTGTAGACTCGGTGAACCAGGCAGGATTCAGTAATCAATCTCTCTCTATCCACCTGCATAGATTACTTCTTAGAATTTTGACCTTCTCTCACCCACCCTATTGTGTGGGGTTGTGTGTTAATGCATGTAGTGCAATTGCTTAGCTTTTTTTCTAAATTACTTATATACTCGGGGTCAACCATTCTTAACTTAGCTAGATTCTTATGTTCTGATAATCTCACTACTCCTGATCTACTAGTTTGACGTATGTAGTTGACTTGACTCACAGTCATTGCAAGGTATTTTGTAAATGATAACATTTTATCTAATTGGGTCAGCCTACATAGCTTGTCTATGAGTGAGTTTGTAGGTTTGAATGCCACTGGAATTCCTGCTTTATTAAGAATCCGACATAGGGTCTCAGATGTCCCCTCCTTATATGGCATAATAGTGGATGACTTACACTCTATTTTATTTATGTTATCATTACTAGTTTCATAATTATTTTTATTTTTCGTTTGGCCTTTACTGATCTTCCTAATGAATTTTATTGGATAGTTAGTTGTTTAACACCAACGCTTCTGCTATCTGTTTTATTTCATCATTTAGGTCTTTTCTTGTGGTACTGCTCGGTTTGTTAGAGACTTATAACTAAGCCTGCCTTGACAGTTAACGAATGAGATGAATTAAAGTCTAAATATCTATTAGTAGAATGCTTTGGTTTCTTATAAACGTTAGTGTGTAGTTTACCTTCTTCTATTAGCTTTATTTTACAATGTAATATCATAGCTAATTCTCCTTGTTCATTTTCCGATTCAAAAGTGAATTTTATTCCCTCTACTAGTGAGTTTATGGGTGTGTGTCAAAAAGCTAGAGAGAGATATGTTCTGTTTTTAACACTGTGTGTGTGTGTGAAAGTGTCATCCACATATCTGCACCATATTATTTTTGGAGTAGGATTAGGTGAATGTATTAAGAGCAATATTTTCCTTACCAGCTGTTCATAAAGATATCTGCTACAATGATAGGGGATATTGGTGATCCATCCCATTGCTACGCCCTGGAATTTAAAGATAGTAGATGGGAGACAGCATAACTGAATTCTTAAAATAGGTTTGTCTGTCTGTTTTCGACATAGAACTTTGCACCGATGTACACCAGTTCAAGTCGCCACACTCCTTCCATTTAGCACACAAAGCAAGAGAAGAAAGTACAAGAAAAGCATAATGGAGACAGTAAGCAGAGGTGTGAGACAAAGGAATAGTAATAACGAAGAACGATATAGTTTCATTGGAAATCATAAGTCACAGAGAGTGAAAGCATCTGCGCTAGCCATTGAGAATGATGAGTTTGTGCCATATCACCAATTGTCTCCAGCTTCCAATGGTTTTTACCGTCACGACGACCCTAACCAGTCAGGAAGTCTACACCTTCCTACGTGGCTAACTTAAAGTAACTATTATGGATTTCATTGACTGATGAATCCATGTTTTTGTCTGACCGCCGCTAGCTCTTTTCCAGCCTGACCTTATATCAGCTAACATTTCCCATTGTCGACGAAGACGATGTCTAGGCATGCGTGCGTAACACATGTCCTAACCATCTCAGTCGATGTAGCTTCACAGCCTCCTAAAATATACTTATGCCATTCAGTTCTTTCAGATGCTGGATTCAATTTACATTAAAGGTTTGAAATGCAGGGGTTTTTCAACTCCCACAGCAGCGCTATTGTAAAAGCCAGATGTTCGCATTCACCCTTTGACTCGTAAAGACAGTGAAGGTGTGTTGCTTATTAGTGTAGTCACTGGACTTCCAGCTAGTAACAGAGAGGGTCAAATGTGTTTCGGGCTCTACTCCATCTGTCGAGGTTTTCGGCAGCCTATAGGTGTAGTTCATTGTTAACTGTGTATGGATTTGTAAGTGGTTGTTTTTTTTCACTTAACCGTCATTATTATTATTATTGGTTTTTATCTAGGTGTTGGAAGCTGATGTTGAACGTCAACAGAAACGACATGCTGATCTTCAACGTGAATATGGTCGATTAATTCGTATCCGTGAAGAACGTGAAGCTGACGCCTTTTTAGCCAGTAATATGGATTTAATTGGTGATAGTGAAATGTCGACCACCACAACCACCACCAATAATGGTGGTGTTGGTGGTGGAAGCGAAGCGAATCACAGCGACTCCACCTCATCATCCAAAATGGTGAATGGAGGTAGTGGTACAACACGTAAATGGATTGCTGTCACACAAGTGGAAGATGTGAATAACCCGGATCATTCAATGAGGATGATGATTGATGAAGATGGTGAAGGCGAAGAAGACGAAGAAGAAGAACAGACAACGAATACTGTGTAAGTTCAGCAGTTGGTCGGCTTTTTTTTAAAGCCTTCTTGAAGAAGAATTTTTTCTAATCATTTATATTGCTTAATTAATTAGAATACAAGTTTTGTTCATCGTGGGTACTAATCCGAATGACTTTCATATTATAATACATATGTGTGTAAAACTTGGGCATTGTGGTGGTGGTGGTGGTGGTGGTGGTAGTGGTATGTATAATTCCATATTAATTTCAAATGAATTGTTGTCAAGATTTGGCAGGATAATTCTAAAATATTTGGGCGCCGAATGAGAAGTAGACATTTGTACGAAAAAAAAATTATATTTGTAAAATCTCAGCGAGATTATCTACAACAGAATGCATATTCTAAATCTGTCTGTAGCTATCGAGTCACCTGACACAACTCCAGTAGGTCGAATAAAGCAGCTCAGTCTTCAAGAAGAAGAAGAAGACAAAGCAATAAGTTCGACAGGGTACTCTTCAACTAAACTCTAATCCTAAATACCATAATTTTGAAAATATACATCTAATCATAAAATTTTAGAGACTAACAGTTTGAACAGACATGAAGGCGTGATGTATGTGTGTGTTAGCTGATGCATAGGAAATCCTGATTAATAAGTAAAAATGGATATCTATAAAACACGAAATAATCGAGCAAAGAATATCCCCTTTTCGATAAATTCCTCCTCTTCTGGCTCTACAATTATATATACGCATCGTTTATATACACAAAATATTCAAGATTGGTAGTTAATAACAATATTAGTGTTTTTTTATATTTAATATCGATTTGTAAAGTAAAATCACGATGGAATTACCACAGTTCATCAAAGATGCTTAAATTATAATAATAATAATAATAAAGATATAATAGCGATTGAAATATCAACTAAAGTTAGAAAAATTCCACAAAAATTGAGGATCATTCAAACCTAGATGACCAAGGTAAGGACAGTGTCTGAACTAACTTCTTTTGGACGCACAAATTAGACTTCTTAATATGGATCCCAACAGCCAGCCTCAGCAATATTCAGTGATCGAACTCTTAAGGCAAAGTTAAGATTTTCAAGTGTTGGTTTGTAGGGATTTGATTGGTTTCAGGATTTCACCATGAGCTGACATTAGTTAGAGAACCATTGGAAAACCTGGGAGTACTGGACAACTGTTTCGTCCTAGTTTGGGACTCTTCATCAGTACGCACCCACCGGGATTCGAACCCAGGACCTTCCGGTTACAAGGCGAGCTCGTACACCATTAAGCCACTGGGACCCGATCCAATGGTCCTTGAATTGTAACTTCTGCCAATTCACTTCAATTCCAATGGTTCTCTAACTACTGTCAGTTCATGATGAAATCCTGAAAGTTAAGATTTGTAAGTATCCGGTAAATAACTCTAAAAGCCTCGTTGACATCAATCTTGTGTTCTGTATCTACAAGATGAGATAAAATAGCGCTATATGAATAGATTTTCTTTGTCCTTTACTTAACCAACCACGTAGGGTGATGTTCGGAAATTCGACGGGGAACACGTCTAATTGTACGGCCTATGCAACGAACTGGCTCACTCCACAGGAGCAGTTAAATTGGTAGATACACACACACACATGGAAGAGGCGGGGTTAGACAGTTTGTCTTTTACTACCGAACGCAAATTAATTAATAATACTTGGTCAAAATCCCCGATTGTTTATATTTTCTTATGGAGACGTTAACGATACTGATATGTATCCACATATATATATTTATGTGTGTGTGTGCATGTTGGTCTCTCTTTCTGTTTGCTCGGTTAGTCTGTGACCACTTCACTTGTATGGACTTGTCTCCTTTAATAATGTGTATTCTCCTTATATTATATTATATATAATATGAGTGTTTGTTGACAGTCCGTTGCTTGGTGACATATATCCATATATGTTTGTTGGCATGTCTGCTATATTCGCTATGTATAATTGGATCGACACTCCATTATAATTAGCCATTCATGTTAAGACTGTCTAATGATTTTTCCCACGCTTGTCTGAATTATTTATATATATTCGCATTCACAATTTGTGTGAACTACTTTACTTTACAACTACTTGACTTACTTACCACTTTGGTGTGAGACCATTTATTTTCGTCTCCTTGTGTTTGGACAATAGAAGTATCATCGCAAACCTAGTGGTCTTCTGATTTCCGCCTTCTCGCGTCAGGACTATTAGTTTCTCGACCAGTCCATAACAATAATTTAGCGACGAGTACATAACAATTTGGCGACGGGGAAAACTACTATTAACCACACAGCAGCAACAACATAACAATTTACTATGGATCCTATTAAATTGGAATTATTGTTTGAACGACAAATGAAATTAATGGAAATGTTCGTCAACCAACAGACTGGTCCAGCTCCACCTTCAAGCAATCCCAATCATACCATGCTACCATCTGTCGACGGAATTGTGAACAGCATTTCACAGTTCAATTATGACCCAGAGGCTAATGTCACTTTTGACACATGGTATCAACGTTATGAGGATTTATTCACTGTTGATCTCGCCTCACAAGACGATGCCTGGAAGGTGCGAGTTTTGCTACGTAAATTGGGTCCGGCAGAATATGAACGGTACTGCAACCTAATTTTACCACAGAAACCACGTGACAATTGTTTCGATGATACAATAAAGTTGCTGCGTGAACATTTCGGAGACCACTCCTCATTATTCAGTATACGTTATCGTTGCCTCAAGCTGGCAATGAATGAAAATGATGATTTTCTTACTCACGTTGGCACAGTCAACCGAGAATGTGAGAGATTTCGACTCAGGTCCTTAACAGATGATCAGTTCAAAGCCTTGATTCTCATATGCAGTCTCCAATCTCCTCGTTTCACAGATATCCGAACTCGACTGCTCAATCAGCTAGAACAAAATCCCAAGTTAACATTACATGACATAGCTGATGAATATCAACGGCTGATTAATCTGCAGAAAGACACACACCTGGTCGAATCAACACCTCCGAGAAGCTCTGATATTCGTGCATTACGCAAGAGCAAAAATCTCTCATCAGCTACTCCTGACCCACCTACTTCTCCTAATGTTCCGCGGAAATCTATACATACTCGTCCAACTTCACAAAATACTGCAAAGAAGACCCCTCCATCACCATGCTGGCATTGTGGCGCGTGGCACTTTGTAAAGTCTTGCCCATACAAAAATCATCGTTGCAGCAAGTGCAAAATCATCGGTCATAAAAATGGTTTTTGTCAGCCACGCAAACCCAGATATCATAATCCAGCAAAAGCTCAACAAAATGTCGGTCCTAAATCTCCAAAAAGATCACTGAGTCTACGTGCAACCTGTCAAGTCACAACACCAGCTATGCGGAAATATATTGACCTTCAGATGAATGGTCATGATACTCGTCTGCAGCTAGATACTGCCTCTGATATTACTGTTATATCAGAGAAACTTTGGAATTATATTGGCAGACCACCTATCACCAATACTTCCCAGTCTCTTCTCAGCGCCTGTGGTGGGCGGCTCAAACTAATTGGTGAACTCAAATGTTCTGTTTCCTTCCGCAATACCAAATTCACAGGAATTTGTTACGTCACGAAGAATGATTTAAATGTTTTGGGACTTGATTGGTTCGATCGTTTGCATCTGGCTGATGTCCCACTAAATTCTCTACGCAATACAGTGAAGAAGCATAAAATGCTAGACAATTCCGGACGGAGCCGAAGCCGCAAACCCAACAATCAGACGAAACGACAGGCGTCAACAACAAGCCCAAAGGTCCCAGATAAACCCCCAGGTAAACATCCTACTAATCATCCATCTTCTCAAAAGGGGAGGTGATATGTATCCACATATATATATTTATGTGTGTGTGTGCATGTTGGTCTCTCTTTCTGTTTGCTCGGTTAGTCTGTGACCACTTCACTTGTGTGAACTTGTCTCCTTTAATAATGTGTATTCTCCTTATATTATATTATATATAATATGAGTGTTTGTTGACAGTCCGTTGCTTGGTGACATATATCCATATATGTTTGTTGGCATGTCTGCTATATTCGCTATGTATAATTGGATCGACACTCCATTATAATTAGCCATTCATGTTAAGACTGTCTAATGATTTTTCCCACGCTTGTCTGAAATATTTATATATATTCGCATTCACAATTTGTGTGAACTACTTTACTTTACAACTACTTGACTTACTTACCACTTTGGTGTGAGACCATTTATTTTCGTCTCCTTGTGTTTGGACAATAGAAGTATCATCGCAAACCTAGTGGTCTTCTGATTTCCGCCTTCTCGCGTCAGGACTATTAGTTTCTCGACCAGTCCATAACAATAATTTAGCGACGAGTACATAACAATTTGGCGACGGGGAAACTAGAACATAACAATTATGTTTTACAACTAATTAGCCCCCCACACACACAAATACACTCTGTTTAAAGTGTTTAACAAAGGTAGACCAAGTCCGAGGTGACATTTTGATCACAGTTCATACAATTTTGTTTATTATACATGTGGATAGTTGTTTCATGACTCATATGACTGGAAAAAGTTTTTTCTAAACAACAGATGTCCCCTTTATATATATATATATATATATATATATATATATATATATATATAACAACAAGACAAGGGCCGGCAACAGATCGTTTTATTACGGAAATCAACACGTATTTATATATATTTCCTGCACATTATTAAAGCTTATGCAAGTAGAAAAAGGCAGTCTTCTGATTGGTTGTTTCTTGGAAGTTAAGCAGACAAACGCAATCTTCTGATTGGTTGTTTTCGAAATTTCTCGGAAAGTGGAGCCATCTATCTGCGAATCATATTTGCCCACGTTTAGGTCTGCTGTGATTGGTTGTTGAATCAGCTTTGTTTATATTTTCTCACAGCCAATATTAGTGACCTAGACATTGAAGTAGATTAATGTCTACCAATCGGCTAGCAGCCTGCTCTCATCACAATAAACTTCTTTTTTGTTAATTTCCATTAATTCCCCTGTTAAGTACTATATAATTGTTGCTTTGTTTTTGTGTGTATTCCATGCCTTTCTAGCCTCACCGCTTCTAATCATTTGAACAATGGCAATGGTGATACAAATAGTCTTAATCATAACGATATATCCTCATTGAATAATGAGGATCATCTCACATCAGATTCAGAATCAACTACCATCAATGTGAATATGAAGGTGGAATCAGTTGAACAGAGACAATTAATTCACCCTGATTGACAGACAGACACATAACCCCCTCTCCTTTCCTCTGCTCTCCTCTCGTCTCCTCCGCCGTCGATAACACGCATCATCATCAACACTATCATTGTGTTTCAGTAATATACATATGCACACTTCCTCCCTCCCTCTCTCTCTCTCTACATACTTAGCTATCTTGCTTTTCTCATCTCCCCTCTTCTCTTGTGTGTGTTTTGCTCACCCCTCTCCTCCCTTCTTTTCATTCCATTTGATAAACACCCTTTTGAAGCAAAGAGAAAAACACATCGTATGTCATGTTTTATATATATTTTACATATACATATATGCAACTCTGCTTTTATTATTTGAGACTCAGTGTATTTTGTGTGTGTGTGTGTGTGGATGTGCGTGCCTGTTTGTGGACGTGTAAGTGAATGTTTTTGTAAAGCATAAACGTTTACAGGTCTACTCCTCCAACTACTATTATTACTGTTGTTCCTTACTGCCGTCTGTCTGAGATCTTATGCTGTTGTTGTTGTGGTTGATGTTGATGTGTTGTCGTAGAAGGGAAAGAGGAGCTGTTAGTTTGAATGCTCTTTTACTTTTATCTAACTCTGCGTGTGGGTGTGGATTAATACACACACACACACAGTCCCCGTCACTCTCTCGCCTTCTTCATGTTGTTGATGATGATGAGGCAACAATGAGATTGCGACGAATTCTCTTCTGCTTTTGTGTAAATGATGAAAGAAAGAATAACACAAGGACTAGAAATCCTGTTCTTCTTTTTCTTCTTCTTCTTCTTATGATCTTAAAAGGGTAAAAGGGTAAGAGAAGGGAGGTGTGATGTAATCTCTCCGTAATAATACATTACTCCCTTTCTCTCTCTCTCTACCCCTCTTTTCCTTCAAACTATAATAATATCAGTAGTAATACTAATATTAACAATACTACTACTACTACTACTACTACTAATAATAATAATATAATCAAGATAAAGTCTACTAACCTCTCCACTTCTCTTACTTTTTTATGCCTTCTATCTATGTAGTTTTATTTTAGTCTTGATGCTTTGATTGTTCAAAATTTCCTCTTCTCCTTGTTGAAACTGCATTATTCATTTTACTTAGCTTTTATTATTATTATTAATATTATTTTTTTGAAATAAAAATTTTATTGTGAACAGTTTTTTCATATACATACTTATGTATATATAAAAGTGGTTATTATTGTAGTATTTTTATTGTTTCCAGCTAGCAACCTCCATCTCGTAGGAAAATAAACATCGGTGCTCCTGAAGAAACTTTGAAGATTACACTTGAAGGCCTATGTTCTTAATGTAATGCAGAGTAGTAGTAGTAGTAGTAGTAATAGTAGTAACTTCCTTTATATTAGACAATAATGATGAGTGCACTCTCCTGAACGGTTATAATGTCGTAAAAAGTCTTTCAATAAGTAATGATACCTATGGAATGCTAATTATTAAATGTAATTCAATTATTGGTTTATGTTATGTACTCGTCGCTAAATTATTGTTATGGACTGGTCGAGAAACTAATAGTCCTGACGCAAGAAGGCGGAAATCAGAAGACCACTAGGTTTGCGATGATACTTCTATTTTCAAACACAAGGAGAATGCAAAAGTGGTATCACACCAAAGCGGTAAGTAAGTCAGTCACACAAATTGTGAATGCGAAAATATATATGACAAGGGTGTGAACAATCAGTAGACAGTCTTAACATGAATGGCTAATTATAATGAAGTATCGATCCATATATACATAGCGAAATATAGCAGATATGTCAACAACCACCATATATGGATATATGTCACCAAGCAACGGACTGTCAACAAACACTCATATTATATATATATAATATAAGGGGAATATACATTGTTAAAGGAGACAAGTTCATACAAGTGAAATGGTCACAGACTAAGAGAGCAAATAGAAAGAGAGACCAACATACACACACACATAAATGTATATGTGTGGATACATATCAGTTTGTAAGGAATTGGTTGATTGTTTACAGAATTTCATCATGATGAGTTGACATTGGTTAGAGAACCATTGGAAAACCAGTCAGGGAGTACTGGACAGCTATCTGTTTCGTCAGGTTAGTTTCGGACTCTTCTGCCATACGCACCCAGGAGTATGCTATGTTGTAAATTCATAGAAGTTAGAATTCATGGGTTGGGCTATTAGGTCGGATCCCAGTGGCTGAATGGTCTACGAGCTCACCTTGTGTCGAGAAAGTCCTGATGAGGAGTTCCAAACTAGGACGAAACAGTTGATCAGTACTCCCAAGTTTCTCCAATAGTTCTCTAACTGATGTCAGATCATGATGAAATCTTATTACCAAAAGTTACAATTATTATTTAATTTAACACCATGGTAACCAAAGGGAGATTAACGGTGATAATAATTTTCAATCTGATATGAAAGTTTGAATGTGTGAATATACATATAAATCATAAGGGGTGTCAACATATCCAGATCGCAGAGTTCTTGGAGTTATCACTTTCTGATTTCAGAAGTCTAAGCTCTAAAATGCAGAACACTATGTACTTTAACCGCCGCAGAACTACAGAAAACGGTTGGGCGACTCGATTGTTTATTCTTTAAGCTACAACGAAACAGATTTACAGTGGTTAATCAGTCTTAAAATCTTGAAATAAACGTTAGTGTAGTGTAAAACAGTACTTCAGATCGTATTTTTCCATTTTTTTTCCAAAATTATTATTATTAGATCCTTTAATTCCTAGAGGAACATAGGGCTTCAGCTGCGCGTCTCCATTGCCTTCGGTTTTCTGCCAACTTTTTCACCCCGCTCCACATCTGCCTACATGCTTTCATCTCCTCTTCACATCACCTCCTCCTCAATGTCACCCTTGCAGTGAAGATCAACTCGCCGCTTCACGTTCAGTCGGGTTCTACTCGAGCGATGGCTTGTTTAGTGATGTCACTCACTTGATGGTTTCCTCAGTGTATAGTCAATCCATCTCCATTTCTTCGTGCATATTTTTTGCACAGTCGGTTCCTGCTGGGGTCAGTTCGCTCCCAGAGATCCCTGTTGCTGATCTTTTCTGGTCATCTGATCTTGAGTATTGAAGTTGTTAATGAAGGTCTGTGGTTTGTTTGAGGTGCTCTTTATGACGCACTGGCCAAGTCTGTGATTCGTATAGTAGCACTGATTGATTTGACATTGGAGTTGAAAATCCGGATGTTATTTTTGATGCCGAGTGATGTTGAACTCCACATAGACTTAAGAGTAATGAAAGCTTGTCTTGCTTTTCCAATTCTGGCTTTGATATCCTCGTCACTTCCGTCCGCCTGTAGTTGAAACGATGCTTCCGAGGTAGTTAGGTAAGTGAAGGGGGTAGTTTCTTTCAGGTTCCTCCCATTTATGCTGATTGTTGTCTGTTGTTGTGGCTGTTGGTCAAAAAATACACGTTAAACAATGACAACCTTTTGTCTCCCACCAATATGGAGACCGATTCCAACAAATAAACGACTCAATGTTCATCAGTATTGATAAGGGCATGGCAACAAAATTATATAGATTTAGAATATAGTTGGCCAGTGTGTAAAACAGTTTTTTCAACTAAAACAGGTATGAACAGAATGAGTATGGGAACACATCGAATTAGATCAATGGTGATTGTAGAGGTAAGACTAGTCTCTTTTGAACACATATCACCTTTTATACCATGCTGATGGACTCATCGTTCAAAGTAACTTCGAAAACGTGAACAAAAATCTTCCGGAAGCAGTGGCTTTCCTTGCGTCGGTGGCACAGTAGTTAGGATTCTCACCAACCATGTACATGGTCCGAGATTCGATCCCTCGCCGACGCACACCTGATATCTATGGTCGGCCTGCAAAATTTGGGCTTCCGATATCTACGCTGAAAATTCCATACTTGTAACAAAAATACAGTGTGGAAGCAAGCTGTAATAAAAAATAAATAAATACTTTTTTTCGGCATTCCACTGGGCAGTGTTCACTTACACGACTTCAAAGGACGCGCATAGAATGACTTAGGTTGACAGGTATAGGTGAATATATATATGCACATATATGTGTGACGTGTTCTGAAATTTCTGAATCCGCGACCGTTTGAAAGAGTTATGTCAATACACACCACTAAATTCACCAATTTCCATGAACAAGTCTTGCTAGTTTTGTCAGTAAATGTTGATGCTTGATAGTAATATCCAGCGAGGCAACAGGCTTCAGAGTTAAACACATAAAATTACATCTTCATGGTTTTATGCCAGCATATGTTGTCTATTGCTTCAGAAATGCTTCATTACTGATTGTACCCAAGTAATGCTTTTTCAAACTGGTGTATTCTTGAGGTATGCTTCAGTACCAATGGTTAGAAATAAGTTTAAATATAAAGCATTACTATTTAAACTACTTATAAGTAGGTAGGTGGTTATTTTGAAATTAATATTCTCAAAAGAATGGATACTGGACAAATTAGCTCATACTGAACAATTAGCTTATTATGACTGTAAAACACACTCGTCCTATTTTCCCATCTAACTGCAATTGATCAACAACACTCGTACGATTATTTCTGAATGTACATTATCTCACATTGATTTTAATCCAATATCTAATCGATTCTACACATGTATATAAAAGAAAGAACAAAGTTGTGTGAGTAACCTGATATGATTATGAGCAATAGTTTGTACTCGAAACGTCATCAGTTAATATAACTGTACAACACTGTGTGTGATTTATCAAAATAAAATCTTATCCATAGTGGAGTTATACTCTACCACAGTGCCCAAGTTTTATACTTATATGAACAAAGAGTACTCTTTTCGATAAATTCAACATCAGGCTCTACAGTTATGTATACATTATCGAGAAAGTACGAAAATCTAGTTCCCTGAGGAACGGTTACTATAACCCGCCCCACAACCGCAGTTGAATTGGTAGATACAATTTGAAGTGGCTAGTCTAGGTACTTCATCTTTCAGTCGAGGTAGCACAATCGATCGTGTGGAGAATAATACA